TGACTAGGAAGCAGTTTATTCTCAAGATTCCTCCAAAGTTCTGCTTCTCCACAGATACTATCTCATTAATGAACTTGTCCTTTGACCCATCTACAGCATTTGATTGCATCTTTGTGAGGGGTATTCGTTGATAAATCGCCAGTAAAAGGAGTACAAAATGAATTACATTTTTCCTTATTCTGGCATCAATGTCGTTTTTGAGACCCCAGTCAGCCTAAAGCAGATAGTTTAGTTTACTACATTCTGGAAAGCTCAAGACAGTCTGACAATTTGTTAGGCAAATTTAGGACTTATCAGTATCAGTCGCCTTGGACTTTGATAAACTTAAAAAAATAGATAGCCAGATATTCCTCCAGGAAAATTAGATTTATTCAGAAACAACGAAGAATTGCAATTTGAGACATGCAGTCTAATGGCAAACAACATTCAAATCCAGAGAAATAAATCATCAACACTTTTTTATAGAGGAGAAGAGGAAGTTGGAAGAATTATTATAAACAGAGTTCTTGTCGAGCTCCATGATTCATATAGGGCATCAGAGCTACTCCTCTGGCCTCCCAACTTCATTTTAAACAAAATTTTTGTTTATTAACTTTTACAAGTTCAAAGCTCTTTCTCCTCCTCTGAGCCCCATATAGATTAGAAATATATACATTAAACAAGAGGAAAGGGTGTGGCCAGCTTTTTATTCCTCCATTCTACTCCCTGGTCAGGGCACCAGCTCCCAAGTAAAGCTTTCAGCAGGCCCAGCTGGAGCAGCCCCCTTCTCAGTCATGGCTTCATTTTCCTTCAGTTGCTGGAAGGATTTAACTATTGAGATTGGCGCAGCTTTGTCTCTCATCCAGATGAAGTCAGATGTTGGCTCTGTTGTGTAGCACACACCATCATCTCTTGCTACACATTTTATGCATTTCGCCTATACATACTTCTACTGAGCAGTGTCTTGAAGGGTGCAAGCAAGCCTGCTCATGCTTACAGTTACAGTCTTGGCTTAACCAGGCCTCAAAGATTCTAGGAATTTCTGACATGGCAAATTTTAAATCCAAGGGGAAAATTGTTGTAGCCGCCAGCCCCCGAAAGACACACGGACCACCAGAAATCAGTGAGTTATAGGAAACATGCTCTTTATTCAGCCAGCGGGGTCTGCCAGGGGTACGCAGACCACAAATTAAGCAGCCCCAAAATGTAGAGGTACAGGATTCTTAAGCCCTAAATCCCATTCCTCATTATGCCTTAAACACAAAGGTCTATTTTTCTCCTATTCTCTACCTGTCAACCCACAGGTTGGTTGTGCAAGCGGGAGTACAGAAGCAGAAAGCTTATTGTTAGAATGTTATGTTCCCATGGGCGATAGCCAAGCAGTAATTTTCCAGATAGCACAAAACAAGGTGGGAAAGATCTTGACTCCTTTCCATCCATTTTGTTTACTGCCACTTAATAAACACCATGTGAGAAACAGCTGCCACTTGGTCCTCTATATTCAGAAACATCACCAACCTTTCAGGGAGGAGCGCCTTCTGTTTGTTGAGAGACGCAGTGAGCACATAAGACCCCACTGCGGAGGGCAGAGGATAAAGACCTTGCAAACTTCCTTTTCTATGCTCTTCCTTTCACCTACACCACATCTGATGGAAAAGTGAGGCAGGCTGGGGCATTTGTTTTAACTAAAAAGTGTGAACAAAAGGGGGTTTTATAGAAAGTGATCTCACCAGGGTGATCTGATCATAAATTCTTAAGTGGGCAAATCATTGTGGGTAGTCATACACATAACTTTTTCATATAAGGTTTACCTTTGCCTTAAGCCAGCCCTGCCCATTGATTTTGTTCATCAAGGTTAACACACCTTTGCAACAAGCACAACCACCTTCAAGAGACCACATAATCCTGTTAACTATCCTATAATCCAATTCTTGCCTTGCTTTCTCCCACCCTCCTATAATCTTCCTTATGTTCCCTCCTTAATTTCAAATGTATTAAAGACACTGCAGAACTGTCATTCTTCAGAGCATTTGAGATTTTGCTTGCCTGCAGTTGTTGTCTGTTTGGCTCCAATAAACTCATAAAAATTTTCTATGCATTTGGACATACTTACATCTACAAAAGAAAATATTTTTACTTTAGTCCTTGGCTTTTGTCCTCTATAACCCAACACTTTCTACCTAGCCAGGAGGCAGAGTATAAGAAACCAATCAGCAGCCTTAGAATTAGGATTCGTGATTCACGTCTTTTTCTTATCTGTGTATGCTCCAAGGCCTTAGAAGCAAAGAACTTATAATTTAACACAACATACTGAGTTTTATTTATCTACTTCCCCCTCATTTATATCCCTTCCTGTATTCTATCTCTAAATTAATGGTGTAATTATCCACCCTATTTCACTCAATTCAGAACAGAGAGATTATCCTGAGTGTCTCCCTCATCTTTATCAGCTATATTTAATCGGTCATTAAACCCTGTAAATTCCTCCTCAGTCATGTATCTCTGTCATAAACCTCTTCTGTGTCCCTCTATTGTTTTGATTTCAGCCTTCATCACCTTTTGCTTGAACAATTGCAATAAATTCCTAATTGGCCTCCCAGTCAACGAAATCTCTCCCCACCCCACACTGAGCATTGCCTTCCCAAAGATGTGACCAGATAATTTTCCTGCCTCAAAACATTTAACATCTGTGGAAACAATTCAAGTCCCATACTTGAGTAAAGAAAATATGGAATCAGAAAATTTCTTTCTTAATGAAGAGAATAAGCTTTAATTAATAAGACTCTTGAAGCAAATCACTTGGGCTTAAAAAGCTATTTTGTTTATTCAGGTACTTTGTTGTGAATTTTTTATCTTTGCTGAAGATGATAGAATCTCTGGGGGAGGTGGGGGATATCTCTGAAGGAGCCAAACAGAAAACCCTTTTGCTAGCTAATCAAATTGGGTGAAGATCTAAAGTAACATAAATTGATCATACTGGATCTGTTCACTATCTTAAGTCACAAATTTCTCCACAGTATTTTCCTGCCATTTTTGGAGCAAAAAAATAAGAATTGTGTGCTGCCAAACTGTTTTATTACCTACATAAAATGCAAATCTTTATATTTGCTAAGATTTACATAGTCAGAGGATTATCATAAATCACAATTAACAATAGCTTAGGAGAAAAGGTTCGTGAATTTTATATGTTGTTAATCACTTTATCTAAAATAGCACCCCTCTGGGGCTTTATTCAGCTTTGTTTTTCTTCATAGCACTATCACCACCAAACATTTTGTCTATTTTTCCTCTCCACCAGAAAGTAAACACCACAAAGGCAAGGACTTTATTTTGCCAAGACGTGTGTTTTATTCATTTGTTTACAATAGTCCCCCCTTATCTTTAGGGAATATAAGACCCCCAGTGGATGCCTAATAGTATCAAACCCTCTATATATCGTGTTTTTTTCCTATACATACCTACCAGTGATAAAGTTGCATTTATAAATTAGGCACAGTAAGAGATTAACAACAATAATATAAAATAGAACAATTGTAACAATATAGTGTAATAAAAATTATGTGAATATGGGCTCTCTCCCTCTCTCTCTCTCTCAAAATATCTGATAATCAATCTGGTAACCAAGACAGCATGGATATGTCACTGGGCTATCATCCAAAGTCCCTAATGTTTCTCAATACCTAAAAAATGTCTGGAGCTTTGCTTGCTTGCAGGAATTGAAAAGGATTCCCAACTGCAAAGACCAAGGTGTGGAGCACAAACACCATGTGGCAATGGGGCATCCTGTGCAAAAGAGTCAAGTGCAACAGAAGAATAATTATAAATGCCTAAAAGAATTTAATCACTCCAGGAAACAGCCTACAAATACAGACAGCGCCTCTCACTCAGGAAGAAGGTGCCCTCAGAGCAGTTAGAGCATGAGCCTACCCTTCTCTATTGAGTTTCTGGTCTGCTTTACCAAACCCTGTCTCATTCTATTGGCTTTAACAGCAGGGTAGGCACTAGGCAGAAGGACCTTGGTTTGGGTCCTTGGCCCAGAAGGGCCAGAAACAAATATGTTAGATTAAAGTGATGATTCATGTCCTGGGCAGGACAGGGCAAGACAGTGCAAGACTTTTTTCACATTACTGAACAGTGCGCAAATGAAACTTATGAATTATTTATTTCTGGAATTTTCTATTTAATATTTTCTGACCCAGTGTTGACCACAGGTAACTGAAACTGTGGAAAGCAAAATCAAGGATAACGGGGTGCTACTCTATATCCTTAGGACAGTACTTGGTATAAAGAAACCTTGGTAAATATGTAATAGGTAAGAGTGAAAGAAAACAAAAACTACCTCCCTCATATAGCAGAGAAACGCTTTTCACAAATTATGTTCAACAAAAATATTTGAATAGTCAGTCCTCAGAACAACTCTGGGTACCGGGCAAAGCCTGCCTTATCCGCCCTATTATCCAAGAATACACTGAAGCTTGAAAATGAGCCTTAGGGAGGTCAAAAAGCAATGAAAAAAACTGAAATCCTGCCAGGTCGCTCTCTGACCTCTCGTGACCTCTTTTCTAGATTTCAGGAGCTAATCTTTGGTATCAGACCCTAGAAACCAGTGGGCGCTTGTCTGAAATTGCCACATTTAGCACACTATTTATCTTGCAATACATTCTTGAGAAGGCACAAGGGAATAAGAGTAAAGGAACGGCCGACGGGATAATTTTTAATTCTCACACCATTCTCTTTCAAATTTTAAATAATTTTTGCAGCTGTTGCAAGTGAAACCGTTAAGACAAATAAAGCGAGCACTGTTACTCAGAGATAAAACGGCCTAAATGCCTTCTTAGTCCACACCCAAAACGCACACTGACGCTACGGCTACTACAATCCTCCACTGGCCCCGCCCCTCCATCCCGGAAGCCCTCCTCCCTACTGTGCCCGCCCTTCTCTCAGAGATCTGCTCATGATTGGCTACCGTAGTGTTTGTCGCTTCTCCGGATGTTGCGTCACGCAGGGAGAGGAGGAACTGCGCTCTCACAAACAGTAAGGGGCGGGTGGATCGTCAGGGTGTGCGCTTCTGCGTCTCTCTGGCCCGGAAGGAGACCAGCGCAGTTGAGGTGACTGGGAACTAAGGTACTGCTACTCCGAGCCAAAAGGCACTCGAGATCCACCGTACTCTTCATGCCAGTCCCTCGGGGCTTCTGGGTGCGTCTGGAGAGGGCTGAAGGCGGCGGCGCTGCTGTCTGCGTCACAGCCTGGCGGCACATCAGAATGGTCGTCCTGCGGGTGACCCTGTGAATGGGGACGGTGACTGCGGGGCCTAGTGTAGGTGGCAGGGATTCGCCCACGCGACCCTGCTTTCTCTGGGTAGCGAGGTGCTGAATCATACATACTGCTGGCCGGTACAGTCACCGTCCCGGCAGATAAGGAGGATGCTTGAGGCGAGGCTGCTGTAGACTTGTGCTCAGACTTTGGGAGGCCGGAGGCTTGCTGCTGGGTTCCTGGTTCCCAGCAGAGTCTCGTGAACTAGATGAGCTTTCTTTGAGGACTAGACGCCTGAGCCTCATCAGTGCTCACAGAAACGTACGGGGTCGGTGTTTTATCCATTTTATAGCTAAGGAACCTGAGTCCTAGAGGTCAAACACTCGGCGCGAGGCCACTTCTAGCATGCTGAGGTAGTAAGAAACTCTTCTTGTTCTGTCACGCGATGTGCTAGCGTCTCTGAGCCGGACCTCGTTCCCGGTCGGTGTGTTGAGGACTGAGGGAGCTAGATGCACAGCAACTATAGGCTGATGCAATGGCATGAAAGTGCTAGAAGAACTCGGTATTTTCCCAAAGGACAGGTGCCCGATGTTGTATGCCCAGTGTACGTAGAGCTGGTGGCTGAGCTGGAAGTACACTAGATAGGTATTTTTAAGCAAGGATTTTTAGCTTTGGGAGTTCTAGTTAAAATACATAGTCCTGCGTCCCATTCCTGGAGGTTGAATCCTTAGGACCAGAGTAAGACTCAGGAAATCTACATTTTGGGATACATCCCAGGTGGTTTCAATAGCTTGAATGTTTTTATATCATATTCTGTCATGTTTGGCAGAAATTTATAATGTTTGGTTCCCATAGATGTCTTACAGCCTTGCAATGCACTGTGACCTTGAAGAGTTACTCATCTCTTCCTTGGATGACATTTTTCCTATGCTCAAAAGTTATACTATGGAGTCTTCTTTTAAATTTCCCCGTTGAATGCTGATGTAAATCATAAGTGAAAACCACATTTATAAAAGCAATCACACACCCTGTAAATTCTCTTAAGATACTAACATCCACTCTATATTAGCCATATAACTTATTTGGTCATACATTTTGTTATTGTTCGAAGTGGGACTTAAACCTAAAATCTCAAAACTGGGTTTTGTGGAATGGATTTCTTAAATTCACATGGGACAAGCAGAGGATTCATTATTAATACTTAACCCATTCCCCGTTTGCCCAAAGAATGCTCGCTAGCAGTGCTTGCAGCATTACAGTCCTAACCTTGCCCCCAAAGGTTGCCATGAGATCTCGCTTTTATTACTGTTTTCACATCACCTTAGTATATCGATAGTCTTTGGAAACATGACATCATTCTATTTATAGCATTATTTTTTGGGTAGTGGTATTTCCATTTACAAAATATAGTAATTCTCGATTTCTGAAAATGTCAAATCCTAGAAAATCTAGCATTCCTACGCATGATGTTATCATTCTCGAATAGTTGTTAGCCAAAGATTCATTTGATGAATATAATTTACATATACATTTTTGTTACGTTAGGCTAGAGACAGTTCCGTTTAGAAATAACTCCAGGAACAGTTTTCCTGTTTTATTTTCACATTGAAAACCAGTCAGATTTGCTTCAGCCTCAAAGAATATGTTTATATAAAATTAAATTTAATGCTGGCAGCAAGCTGCACTTTTTTACTTAATGAAAAATCAGTTAAAAAGGTCATTTATTCTACCTTTTCTACTAAAATATAATTGGCTCCGTCTTGTTTCTAGACTCCCTATGGCCTTTCCTCACTTGGTTAATGTGTTATTTTTTGTCTCTGTCTATAACTAGCATTTAGATCGGTTTGGTAAACCTGGTGCACCACCATGCTGGCCGCAAGACTTGTGTGTCTCCGGACACTACCTTCCAGGGTTTTCCACCCAGCTTTCACCAAGGCCTCCCCAGTTGTGAAGAATTCCATCACGAAGAATCAATGGCTCTTAACACCCAGCAGGGTAAAGACAATCTGAATTGTTTTTATATTGTCTGTCTCTCTCTTTGTGCCCCTAAAACCATTTTTTTTTCTTTGATAATATGAAGCTCCCTACTCTACCATTAGTCATTTACTGAAACAGCCTTGATAATGTCCCAAATCAGCTCTTTCTCCTCATTAGTTTTGTATCATTCTATTCTATCTTTATCTCATATAAAAGAAAAAGAAAAAACTCCTATGTTTCTTTCCTTACAGCTCTTGGAGTTTCTCATTTAGAGTAATTTGTGAAGGATTGAGAGCTGTATGGTATAGCATAGAGATCGTGGAGCCTATAATCAAAAGCTTCAGAATCTAGGAATATGACCAGTTGACCAATAACTTGTTAAGACATTATTAAATATGTCATTTCAGCTCTTGTTTCGATAATGGCGAAATAAAATCTGTCAGGTTAGAGAGAAACCCATTTCCTTTGATAATAGATTTCTCCTCTAGAATGCAAAGTAGAAGTATAAATTTTGCAGTATGAGGTAGATAAGGAAATACACAGAATCTAGAGGAGACAATGTTCAATATTCTTTTCTCTTAAATTCACCGTTTCACTGTTGAAAAGGAGCTAAAATATAGGTAGTAGTCATCCCTCCCTTTTGCTTTCGTTAAGGAAAGAAACCCAGATGAAAAAATGTAGTTAATACTGAATGAATGTTTTTAAAAAGTTAGTGTTTAAAATATCATTCTAGAGATATAAATAAAATTCGTAGTATGAAATAAACAACTATTCTGAAACTTAAACTAAGAAGATGTAATGAATTAATGGGTCACTTCAAAGATAGAGTACGAGTAGGGTCTCTATGTAACTTTTTAGATTGGCTAACACTGCTTTCACAGTGAAATTACATAGAAAGTACCAAATTATATAGAGCTTTCTAATGTAATGAGATCTTCTGTTTCATTTTATTATTATTAACATTCTGTGTGTCTTTGTTTTCATGTATATCAGGAATATGCCACCAAGACAAGAATTGGGATCCGGCGTGGGAAAACTGGCCAAGAACTCAAGGAGGCTGCATTGGAACCATCAATGGAAAAAATATTTAAAAGTAGGTGTCAGTCTTTAGTTTTTCAACAAGGTTCATGAACAGCTTCCTAAAAATATTTACAAACTTGTGTATATGTTCATTTTCTGGGAAGAAAGGTAATCATTTTCATTGTTCTCAGGGATCTGATAACCCAGAAAAGATTGGTACTTCACACTGGGTTCAGTGGTTCTCAGTCATAGTGCTTCCTGAGAAAATTTTACTTTCATTATTTTTTTTAAGTATTATTAGATAATATGCCATAATCTAAAACGTATACTCTGTTAAGGAAGTTCATTTGAAGTTACGTAGAATCTTCATTAAAGCATATGATAGTTGTGTATATTTCAGGTCAAGATTATATCTTCAAAACACAGACGTTAATAAAAGCCTAGCTGTTCAGGAAGGGTCCTCTTAACTGGCTGCCACTCCAGGGTCTCTTCAATATCTTAATGAAGTCAGTTTGGTCCACAGTTTGGATTTCAACTTTGCAAGCTCAGAAACTAGTTTATGAATCTAGCCAAAGTCAGTCAAAGTACACTACTGCTCCTTAACCTTGCAAAATGTCAATATGTTATAGAGGGAGAGAGCTCTAATTAGTATCAGGGCATTGCTGATCAGTGAGTTGACCCTAGAAACCAAATTATGTGAATCATATAGTGACAGAACAGTAACATTCTTGATGAACAAATAGAGACTAACGGGGGGAATAAGAATACCTTCATCCAGTTAAAGTTGATAAGTTTGTTTCTCAGTACTCTGAAACAAGGGCACCCTCCCTTGATTGTGCTGCATAAACACCGCTTGTATTTTCCTTTAGTTCTTTTTTTTCTTTACTCCATTTAAATAAACATTTTTGCTAATAGCACTTTATATACAATGTGATATGACTGTTAACATTTCTTTTTCATCTTTATTTTCTAAGCATCATGTGAACGTATCCCAGACTCATCAGTAAAACATATATCACAGAAGTCTCCCCACATCTATAGGTACACTGCCTCCTCCAATTTTGTCGGAGTGAGATTAAAGGTTAATCAAGTCTGGTCCTTTTTGTACTGATTATTACACCTATGTTTCTGCAATGTTCTTTTTTACTAGACCCCTAATTTGGAGGCCATTTCTATGTCCCCGTATGTACTAATTATGGCTGTTACAAAGAAGTATGGTATATGGTTTGATTTCCCTCATTTAAATATTGGAAAGGGCTTACCACCAGCACTTTAATTTAGGTAAGATATGACATTATTTACCTGCATTTCTTCTTGTGTTCTACAGTTGATCAGATGGGAAGATGGTTTATTGCTGGAGGGGCTGCTGTTGGCCTTGGAGCATTGTGCTACTATGGTTTGGGAATGTCTAATGAGATTGGAGCTATCGAAAAGGCTGTGTAAGTAAATTGTTCCCAAACAATTCCAACCTTAAAGGTTTCACTTTTCTTGTCATCCTCATCTTTTGCCACTTTTGCTTTATGTCTAGTCTTTCAACTATGTAGAAATATACATGAATAAAATTAGAATCTCATAAGGTGACATTAAAGAATTAAAAATAAAAAAAATTAGAATCTCTTGTTTCCCTCACATATTTGTTCAAAACAAAATAAAAATCTTCCAAGTTTATATGTGTTTAAACAAAGAGAAAATGTATTGCTACGTATATAAGCCAAATGCTTATGTTTTCTATCATTTACTTTTTATAGTAACTCCAGCGTATGCATTATCATTTCCATGACAAATGAGGTGAATAGATTTAGAGCAGTAAAACAGTGTTTCCCAAGGCCTCCCAACTTGTAAATGATTCAAGCAAAAGTCATATCCCTAATCTTATAAATTAACCATATTGTGTTTTTTACAGAATTTGGCCTCAATATGTGAAGGACAGAATTCATTCTACCTACATGTACTTAGCAGGAAGTGTTGGCTTAACAGCTTTGTCTGCCCTGGCAGTGAGTAGAACTCCTGTTCTCATGAACTTCATGATGAGAGGCTCTTGGGTGGTAAGTAAGCTTGATTTTGTTTTCCTTTTCTACAACATATCAAAAGATTAGACAAAAAATACTCAGGGAGGGGTGTTAAATGGAAAGAATACCTTACTATATTAAACAAATTCAACTGAGACAAAGTAGGAAGTACATTCTGAAGTAAGTCAGCTATTCTTTGTTAAATATGTATTTTATAGCAGCAAAGGGGTTGGAAGCCAAATTTACAGGCACATTCTACTTATAGCAGCAGATATCAAACAGCCTTTATTTTATAGTAATTTACTAAAAAATAAGGCAGACCCAAAACCATGTTAGAGGCCAGTGGAAAATACCTGTCTCAAAAACCCAAGCATTCAAGTATTCTGAACTTTCTTGACCCTATATAAATTTATATATTCAGCAGATGTTTCTTGAGCATTTTTTTTTGCTTGATACCAAAAAATGATTTCAAATATGGTGCCTATTTTTCGACTGTCTGGCTGAAGAGATGAACTGCTGGAGTAAGTGGTAAAGGTTATACAATAAGTAGAAAGTGTAAAATCAGTTGAAAGACTGTTTTTGTCTTGGACTAAAAGGGAATTTCCATGAAGGAGACATTTCTTTTATCAGGGCCATTGAAGCCTAGCATTTTTAATTTTAGGAGAAGTTTGCAAAACAGCTTAAGCAAAAGAGGTAGTCAGTCAAAATGACTCTACAATCCTATTAGAGTGAAGTCAGAGTATTTGAGATCTGCAGTGTGAAGAAGACAGAAAGGTAATGTTTGGTTGCCAAGCTGAGGAGAGTGCCTACGCAGTGAGAGGCCATTGCAGATACTGGAATAGCAAAACTCTGATATGTATTTGAGTATTAAGAACTAATGTGGAAGAAAGAAGCAGGTATTCTAGCTGTGCCTTTGCAAGATCTGAAATGAGGGATGAGAGTGTGAACTAGAGCAATAAGTGTGAGACTGGATGGGAAGGGAAGACAGGAGAGTTTATATAATACAAATTTTCCACAGCAAACTGATTTTCCCCATAGGTAACCCAAACCCGTCTAACCTCCAAATCTGTAGTGTTTTGACTATAGTGTATGTTCCAAAATGAGAACTATTCACAGTAGCTTAGCTATTTGGACATTCCAGTATTCTTAAGATATTACTTCTCAGATGGGTGTTGTGAATTTCCTAGCTTAGAGAGTCATGAAAGCACAGAATAAGCATGGTGCATTCCCACCAGGAATGTCAGTTTTAATCAGAGGTAAATAATTTAAAATAGTGCTTTTTTAAATAAAGCAAGCATGGCTATTAAAACATGAGGAGACTACGGCCATGTCACCCTGAACGTGCCCTATCTCATCTGATCTCGGAAGCTAAGCAGAGTTGGGCTTGGTTAGTACTTGGATAGGAGACCACCTAGGAATACCAGGTGCTGTAGGCGTAAAAAAAATAATAATGAAAAATAAAATAAAACCTGAGGAAGATCAAAATATGCAAGAATTTAGCCCCTAAAATAAGACTTCACAGTTTTGTGCTTGAGCCATATTCTCAACCCCCTGTGGGCATAAGATTACTCTTACCTGCTGTTAAGGCTTAAGTAAAATTGTTTGGAAAGCCAGACAAGTGCTTCAGAGATGAAGCTTTTGGAGGGTTATCAGACATACACACAGATAATGTCAACATTTGTACGAAGTGCTTTTGGAACAGAGGAGAGATATCTGACACCTGTTAAGGCAGCTAAGGGACCTACCAGAAAAACTCTCCAGATAAGGAGGTAATCCTTGAATAAGTCAAACAATAGAAAGGGAGTATTTTTAGGCTCAATGAATAGAATTAAAGCATAACAAACAGAATCAAAGAAGCATGAAACTGGGGCATGTTTGTAGCTCTACCATTTCAGTGTAGCTGGAGCACAGAGTATGGAAAGATAAAAGGCAAAAAAAATGGAACTGAATCATGAATGACCTTAAAAGAAAAAGTTATAATTGTGATAAATATCCTGAAAATGCTTTGCACTAAGATGTATGAAGTAGTTTTTAGTAATTGTTTCGTCATTAGAAAATGGTAGAGTAGAACCCAGTGTGCTTTTCTATATTAGTATGAGTAAAGGCTTTAATTTTCAGCAAAAACGTGTTCTTTTTACCCGTACTTTACATCAAAGGTTACATATTCAGATGCCTGTGTCAGATAATGCAGATGAGTGAAGCAGACCTGGTATGTGGAAAGGGATTATTAGCAGCTAGAGAAAAGCCTTCTCAACCAAGAGCAATCTCATTCAATTGTTTTTTGAGTAACTGGCCAAACAAAATGCTTGCTGCCTGATTCTGTCCAAAGCCTGCAAGTTTGCAGTTTCTGCTTTAAATCAATCTCCTGAAGATTCATTATCACTTTACATTATCTGCTTATCTCCCTTGTCATGCATAAGGAATATTTAAATGTAATAACAATGGAATCTAACTTATGCACAGAAAAGAGAAGAAGACCAAGTCAGCCAGAAAACTGGGAGGACAGAAACATAAAATCTTTTTCCATGTGCTTCTGTCTTTCAGGTTTTTATTTAAGCAAATATGGAATTCAAGGCAATGTGCAATATATTCTAATGGGTATATCATGACTAATTTTTTTAACTTTTTGTTCTACCAAAAGAAATATAATTAAAAATAATTATTCTGCAATTCTTAAAGGGGTTTTGTTAGACCTCTTATCTAATAATAAAATTTTTAAAAGATGATGCTGTCAGTCAAAGCTCAACTCATTCATTTGAAGCTATCTGCAAAACTTTATGTATGGGATTAGGGGGCATTCTTGCTAACTTCACCAAACTGAAATTAACCCAAGGCCTTTATATGCTGGAAAAATATAGGATTCAGTTTATTGTCCTTCATCTTTGTAAAATGGTATATTGGTGGGACTTCCTGAACTTAGGATTTGTGGGTTTCTACTTTGTTGTTTTGTAAAGATCGATTTTTCTTAGTAATATGTGTCTTTCAGACAATTGGTGCAACCTTTGCAGCCATGATTGGAGCTGGAATACTGGTACAGTCAATACCATATGACCAGAGCCCAGGCCCAAAGCATCTTGCTTGGTTACTACATTCTGGTATGTTCAGGTTTTCAATTGTTATTAAACAGTATTGAATACTATCTTTTTGGTGACTCTGCACAACCATAAATGATGTATATAACTTAACTAAGCTCCATGTTTTGGAAACAGTTTCCTGTGCTTATTACTGGTTGTATAATTCCCAGATCTCTACTCTGGAAAGTTCATGATTCTGTTACTAAGACAGTGGACATCCCCGATATTATACTTGCATCCTTTGACAGTTCTATATATGTTAATATTTCTTTTTATGTAATTTGTCCAATACCAAGAGAATTTAAAATCTGATACACATCACTTGAGAATTGTTTTTGTTGTGTATCTTTAAAAAAAATAAAAAGCAGGTAAATAGAAGAAAGAGGTAAAATGTGAAAGAATAGGAGATTTTTGTAGTGGAGCATTGAAAAAAGAAAACAGTCAAATAGATCTTTGGAAATGCATGTTTGTGTCTGATATGCTTAGTTAGGTCAGTATTAAAATAGTTGTTGGCACCCAATATTGACAGATTTCTGGTGTGAAATATGTCATTTATATTCTTCATGTGCTATCTTTATTTTGGTAAATATGAGACAGCATGATTTCCCAACCTCGGTTTTTAAGTCTCTCTTCTATTAGGTATTAGATTATTCACCCATAAATAGATAGTATCTATGGAGCTTTAAAGGGCAAAACCTGTGTGGTTGAGAGCGAGGTGGTCTGTTATCTTCTAGTACCTATAACTGGCTTTTAATAAAAAAAAAAAAAAAATTACTCAAAATATAGTATGTGCATTTGCTAAGTATATATCCTTTCATTGAAACACCATAATCCTCACCATCTAAATTTTAACATTTACATTTATGTTTCTAAATCTCTGTATTGTAGCATCTTGGCCAATGAATAGAGTGTTGCACCTGTTTCCCATTTTAGACACTGAGTTTCTTGAGAAAACAAGTTCACTCTTTTTTTATCTCTGATAAATAGTAGTCACTTCTCAAACTGGATTAAACTAGCTATGTAGTTTTAATTTGAATATGTAAGCTTTCTACCTGGTTTGCTTAGAAAACTCTTGTAATCTAATATTGTAGCATATAAATTGCTTGAGTAAGAATATTTTATGTGTGCTGGGGGGTCCCCAAGACCACCCATTCATTCAGTGATTGATTTGTTAGGAGGAGTCACAGAACTCAGCATATAGTTTATACGCAGAGCTAAGGTTTATTACAACAAAAGGACATGTGACAGGATCAGCAAGGGAGGATCATACACAGTCTTTCACTGCGCTCTTCTTCCTGTGAGGGGACACACCAAAGATGTGAAAAGTTCAGTAATGTGCGATGTTTCTGCCCAGGGAAGCCCAGTAGAGACTCATTCTCCAAAGTTTTTATGGAGGGCTGGTCATGTAAGCACTCTGCTAGCAACTCTCAAAAGCCAGATTCTGTAGAGGAAAGAAGGCCTTCAGCATAACTAAGTGTGTAGTCTAACCCTATCAGTTACGGAATGGTTAAGGTGCCATGTTCTCAGATATCAGTCAAAGACTAACCTTGTAAGCAGGCTTTAGTAAAGATAGCCTTAGGCCTGCCATGTCAACCCATTCCTGCAAAGTGTGAAGGTCAATTTTTTTTTCTTTTTATTTTGTTGTTCGAAATTTCCTTTATTCTTCACAGACATCTTTGACAGTTGAGCAGACATTAGCATGTTCATTTCTTAGATGAGGAAGCTGAGAGTGGGTGAGGTCACATACCAAGAAGTGCCAAAATCAAGACTTAACGCCTCAATCTTATTTCTTCAAGACCCACACTTTGTCCATTTCTTTATTCATTGGCATGATTGAGATGAGACCCAAAGGTGGTTTGGATTACCCAAGGGCAGCCATTCACAGCTGCAAAGGGACATCAAAGTTGGCTCTTAACTCAGTATTCACATCTGAATACATTCCATTTTCATTTTTTTATCCAGATATTTAGCACCACCATGTAGACACCCCTGTGGTCTCAGGACTAAGCAATATTTTGCTGGAATTACTAAAATGCTCATTGAAAACTATTCTAATTGTTATTCCCCCAGTTTTATTGAGATATAATTGACACATAATATCATGTAAGTCTAAGGCATACAACACATTGATTTTATATATTTATGTATTGCAGAATGGTTACTACCATAGCTAATGGTTACTATCTCCATTCCATGTTTACCTTTTATTTTTCCTGGTGAGAACATTTAAGACGTACTCCCTTAGCAACATTTAAGTGTATGAGTCAGTGTTACTAGCTGTCAAAAGTTCAGAAATAGTAGAAGTAAAACCAATAAATTACTGAAATAGCAAATAGTAAAAATTTATTGTGCATACACCAGATGAGTTTGCAAGCCAAAAACACTGAATCAAAAATATGGACTGAGGCTCAGGAGTATATTATTATAAAGCAGTTTATATAGTGAGAAAGCAATGACTTCTTTACAGTGATTGGTTATAATATTAGAATTTTCTGTGGTTACCTCATATCAACCTTGAGAAACAGTTCGAGTTTTTCTTATGATTTCCAGAAGCATAAGCAAGAAATGACCCAGAGTAAGTTAGTCTTTCAATATAAGCTAAATTAAGCTTTATTTATATGACTAAACTGGTTTTGTCTGCCCAGTTTAGTCATATAATGTTAAAAGCTGGTCCTTGTTTCTTTTTTATTTTAATGTCACCATGCTGTTCCTTAGATCCTCAACCTTGTTAATCTTATAACTAGAAATTAAACCCTTTGACTAATATTTCTCCATCCTCCCCACTCCAATTCCCAGTAACCACCACTCTACTCTGTTTCTCTCTGAATTTTGACTTTTTCTTAGTTTCCACATAAAAGTGAGATTATACGATATTTATCTTTCTCTGACTTATTTCACTTAGCATAGTGCCATCAAGATTACCAACTGAGAGGGCTATTTCATATATATGTGTGTGTGTGTGTGTGTGTGTGTGTGTGTGTGTGTGTGTGTGTGTGTGTGTATATATATATATATATATATACACACACACACCACATCTTTATCCATTTATCTGTTGATGGACACTTAGGTTGTCTTCATATCTTGGCTGTTGTGAGTAATGCCACAATGAACAATGAAAGTCCTGATATCAGTCTCTTTTGATAAAAACCCAGGAGTGAGATTGCTGGATCATATGGTTTTTCTAGCTTTAATTTTTTGAAAAACCTTCATATTTGTTTTCTATACTGGCAATATCAATTTGCCGCATCTCAATTTTCATTCAAAATAATAATGTTAAGCTGCTGTTGTTAGTTTTGTACTTAGTTTGTCTTTAAGCAGCAAACATCTATTACCATTTAAGATTTTTATCAGAAAGTATCACTGAAAAATCTCTGAATAATCTTAAAAGTTTTGCTAAGAATTTTGCTGTCAATTGTAAAACTGATGGGAATCCTAATAGAAATACCATACAGAGGAATTTTTATCCAATATCTTTCCTATAGCAAAAAATACTTAATTATTCATCGTCGTGAAACACAATTACCTCATTACACTTGATCTAGAAACGTTATTCTCTTAAAAGAAACACACTAGTATTGAAATTTCAGTATGAGGACAGCTCTATGCCTATTCTGTGAATTAAACTGTGCACATTTAATGTTTAAGAAAAGGGTAAGTTTTGCTACTCACCACTGAAATAATGCCTTATCTAAGATTCATTTTTTAGTTGAGTTCTATTTACCTTTGCTAATTGTATTATTGCTATACCTTTTACTGTAATTTTTCTCTTCTCATCTCTTTATAAATATCTGGCAAATTATTTTTTAAAAGCTATGATAACATTCCTTATTACCCAAGATAACAGCAGTGCCTGCCTTTGAAGTTTCTACATTTTAAGATTAGCGCCATGTACTTTTTCTCTCATTTTTACTTTGTTTCTTCTTGGCAGCAGGATGTTTGCCCTTCATTTATTCATTTCAGGCTGTTTTAACTCAATTCTTACTTATATAAATATTGTTGAGACTAGTGTTAGGTTCATATCCAGTATAGTACTACACAGAATTTGACAAAGTTACTAAAAATTTAGATTAGTATTTGTACTTGTGTGAGGCGTTACCGTTGTGATTTAGAATATGGATAGCCACAAATTTTGGTTGTGGAATTTTGGGGGTGGTATTACCTAAATAAGAAGAAGACTTTTTATAATCTTACTGTTTAGCAATGAGTTGTAATATGTTCAAATGGTATATTAGTTAGAAGTGGCATTTTCCCTTTGGTCATTACTTGGTAAATGCTTAAGTGCCCACTTGTTCTTTCTCCAGGTGTGATGGGTACAGTGGTGGCTCCTCTCACAATATTGGGGGGTCCTCTTCTCATCAGAGCGGCATGGTACACAGCAGGCATCGTGGGAGGTCTCTCCACTGTGGCCATGTGTGCACCCAGTGAGAAGTTTCTGAACATGGGAGCACCCCTGGGAGTGGGCCTAGGCCTCGTCTTTGTATCCTCACTGGGTAAGCCACTGTGCTTTGACACTTGGTTCTTGGTTCATGATGTCACAAAAATCATCTTACGTACCCAGGTTTTCTACTGGAGGGAATTTATGTAGTCATTTTTAAAAGTTATTTAAAAGATATTTGCTAATTTGACTTGATTTTCCTTTTTGGCATCACGGTAAACCATCATTATTGGTTTTACTAAACACATCTAAAATGATAATGTTGGTCTAGAGAACTTGAAAATTGCTTTGATGCAAGAGCCTTCCTGTAATGTGGGCAAGTGACCCTTTACAGGAATGAGTATCGTGGGTTTTGAACTGAATGTACATAAAATTAGTGCTTGTACACACATTTTCTTATTTGTGCATTATAGCAAAGAAATTTTTTTAAGCAATGGTAATTATAAATCTGGTTATAGAAAAGTCCTTTTTTAAAAAACCTTTTTTTTCCATTTTGATTTCAGGATCTATGTTTCTTCCACCTACCACTGTGGCTGGTGCCACTCTGTACTCAGTGGCAATTTATGGTGGATTAGCTCTTTTTAGCATGTTCCTTCTGTATGATACACAGAAAGTAATCAAGCGTGCAGAAATAGTACCAGTGTTTGGAGTTCAAAAATATGATCCCATCAATTCGTAAGTAGTCTTTAATGTCTTTCCTTTATTACATAAAAACATTTGTGTTATTTTGTCCTATTGTTTTATGGCTGTATTAGTTTCCTAGGGCTGTTGGAACAAATAATACAAACTTGGTAGTTTAAAAGAAGTCTAAAATCAAGGTGTCATCAGGGTTGGTACCTTCAGATTAAGGCCCACCCTACTCCAGTATTACTTCATCTTAACTCACATGTTAATTATATTTGCAAAGATCCCGTTCCCAAATAGGTCACATTTACAGATGACCAAAGATTGGGACTTCAGTATATGTTTTGAATTCAACCTGCAACAATGTCTTTGTCAAATTTTACTATTTTACTTCTGTTGCTGTTTAGTCTATTCTCTCTCTAGTAGCCATAGAAATTTGATCATATTGCAACTAAGTGTGATAGTTAGGAATTTATTCAGTTAATTCAGAGTATTTTACCTTATGGTACTCTTGTTGGTCAATTAATTTAGTATTTAACACTTTAGAACTGAAGAAAAGATGTATTTGTTAAGTATTTGTTGGAAAGTATACAAAATCGACTTGAAATTTTTAATATGAAAGCCTATTTTATTAAAAATTGAAAACACTTCAATATGAAAATTTTATTTTGGAGATATTCAAATTTAACTGCTATTAAGTGTTACATAATAATGCTTTTTTTCCTTTTCTTGGCCTCTCCACCAAAGTAGGTTATTTAAACAATTTCTTTTTAGTTCAAGGGTGCTAGTCACTTTTTTTAAAGTAATTTTACCTTTTTTCTTTCAAACTAAAAATCTAATGGTTTTATAAAATGCTGCTGTAACACTTACAGATTTATAACAGTTTCTCTGGGTGGGGTGGGGGGCGGTGGCGAGGTGTTAAGGGGGTATATTATATTTAAAAATGCCAGACTTGTGTCTAACACATTTTGTGAAGGTGTTTCTTTGGTTTGGTTTTGATTCTTTTGTTGTCTGTCACCCATTTTTTTTAACTCAAGATACTATGCTCATAGTAAAGTGCAGAGGAAAGAATAATGATTTATAAACTACCCATTAACATTTAAAAGATGACTCTGCCAGAAGAAAATCTTGACTATGTTCTAGTCTAAGACTTCCTAAGTTGGCATCTTTTTAAAAAGTTTCCAACTTATCTACCTAGAGCAAATAATCAGTATTGCTTTTACTTTTCTCTATTAATAGTTTTTATCATTGTTATTAGAATTACATCATATTTAACAGGCATTTTCTTTTCTAGGATGCTGGGAATCTACATGGATACATTAAATATATTTATGCGAATTGCCAGTATTCTAGCAACTGGAGGCAACAGAAAGAAATGATGTGACTCAGCTTCTGACTTCTTTAATGCATCAGATACCTTGCTTGTTTAATAGGGGCAGATATTCATTAAGTACTTTGTTCAAGCAGCTTTTGTTGAAGTTTAGAGGGTAAGAACTTGTCATCATGTTTCAGACGTTCCAGTAATGTGATGCTTCAGGTGTGCGTTTTCTTCTAGAGAATAAATTCAGTAGTTCTCATCCAGATAACCACAAACATATCCAGTTCTCATGTTTGAGTAATTCTAAAATGAATCAATGAATGTGAAGACTGAAGTTTGTGTAGTGAGAATTTAACTTTTATCTATTTTTTAAAATTATTTGGTTAAGTAAAAATTTAAAAACTTGTGTTTACCTGCATATGTTTTGGAATGCAGAATATTAACCAGTCATGTCGTGAGTGAGGTAGAGGTTTGGTAAAGGGACCAGAGAGAAGTAAGGGGTCACTGGCAGTCTTTGAGTACTTAGAACTTAAAACTTGTGTAATCGGTGATGAGTCAGTGAAAGGGCTCTGGCTATTTGGAAACAAGTCATCTCTCTTTATATTTGTCTGCTAAATTTATCAAAGTATTGAGCATAAAACAAAGACGTAGGTGATGCATTTTCCCACTGTTCCTTTTCAGTGCTCTCTTTACACTGTAGATGTGATCATGTTTGGCTTCTCATTGTTTAACATTGTTTGAACAGTCCAGAATGTTAATCATATGGAGAATTCCTGATATATAAAATATCTGTGTATATGTGTATGAAAATTTTACTTTTGAATCTTTTAGAACAAAATGTTCTTAAAATATCTTCTCAGGATAAAATATCAACGCATGAAAATTGTTGTATTTTCAAGTATACAAACAATATGTTCATAATTACTGATTTTTTTTTTGCATATTTATTGAAATGTTTAATAGAATAGATGCTTGCCTTTATCTATTCAAGCTTTGAAGCTTTTATTAGAAAAGCCTATTTGAGGCTTACACTTGAGATTATGAAAGCAGTTTTTCTTCTAAGACTTGGTTTCTTGCGTTTTCTCTCAGACTGAGCACTAAAAAAAAGGAAAGCAAAGCTAGTCTTCATGAACTATATAAATCAAAAACTTAAGATGGAATGCTTCCTTAGAGTGTTCCCTAGCAGAATTTCTCTTCTTTCCTGCATAGACCATCACTTAACTCTCTTGTGACATTTCTGATAACAGTTATTTTTGGAAGTTCTTAATGAAATAAGTATATATGATTATTGAGATGATTTGTGTTCTTGATAAGTATTTATTACATAATCCAGAAATAACTATTCTTACCATCTCAAATTACATATGATGCTTATTTTTGAAATAATAAAGGTTCCAGCCACATGGTGATGTGTCTGTAGTTTTTCCAGATGAACCACATGTATACCTTTTGAATAGGGGATTGTTCAAGAAAGCAACTTAGTCTCTTAGCAATATAGTATACATATTACAGTGTGATTATGACTGTGGTGCTTAGAGGCAGACTGCCTTTATTTGAACTCCAACTCTTGCACTTATTCCTTATATGACCTAGGCAAATTACTTAACCTCTCTGTGCCCATTTCCTCTATAAAATGCAGATGATAACAGAACTACCTCATAGGGTTAAGGTGAAATGTGCTGGTACTTAGTAAGCATGGTGTAAGTTTTAGCTGCTGCTGCTGGTTTGTTTTGGCAGTTTTTTCTCTAAGAAAACAAGTCTTAAGTGCTAAACTGTTTTTTCTTTCC